CTCTACTAAAAATACAAAAATTAGTTGCACGCCTGTAGTCCCAGCTACTCGGGAGGCTGAGGCAGGAGAATTGCTTGAACCCAGGAGGCGGAGGTTGCAGTGAGCCAAGATTGCGCCATTTCATTCCAACCTGGGTAACAAGAGTGAAACGCCATCTTGGAAAAAAAAAAAAAAATAGAGGAAAAAATCCACGAAGGCAGAAGTGCCTAGGTCCCATGAAATGTGGCTCTGCCAAAAGCCAAGCAAATGAGCACAGGAAACTTGAAAGTATAGGTTTCTATTGATTCTATCTCTTTCTCCAAGGTTTTAAAGAATCCCAGGCCCAATTACTTTGGTGGGGTTTGAGGTTTGGAGTAGCTGGGGTGCCCTTGGTAGTCTTAGTAGGGCAGATGCTTTCTCCAAGTTTACACGTAGGCTGGGGGCCCAGCCCTGGGGTGGCATTGGGCTGATTGTGCCAAGGACCATGTCCCCTTCCAGGGCTAACCTCAGGGTCTTGGCTTTTTCTGTTACTTAAGGAAGGACTATTTCATAGCCCAACCTTGCCAAATCTGGATGGGACTGCCTTGAGTGGCCTGAGTCACCGGACATACTGAAGTTTTTCTCATAGGCAAGAGGTTTTCTTTGTGCTCTGTGTGGACTAGGTACCTCTGAAGTTCTTGCCAAAGTCTGAGACATTAGGATTCTGTGAACGTTAGACTTAGTGCTATATAATTAGGATGCTAAACCTCAGGATAGAGTAGTGGGGGGAAAGCACATGGAAAAAGAAAATATACAATACTTTCCAACATCGAATGCAGATCCTGTTTCTCTTGCTGACTGATCTGACCCATCTGTGACGCTGATCTTTCTCAGGGGCACAATTTCGAGAAAACTCGAGCAAACAGCTCCAAACCACCGCAGCCTTTTCAGACTAGTTTGTGGTCCTCTTTGCTTTCCGGGTTGTGGCGGCAACCTTGGACTCTGGACAGGTTTCTGGACTGTTCCATGCTCTGTGAGTGCTGAGTCTGCATTGTTGACTTTGCATTGGAGTAGGATGCCAGCTTGGAGCTTGTATCTCAAGAGATAAGGCATCAGCTCCAAGGAATGTGAGATCCAAAGGCAAAGAGAAACGCTCTGTACTGTGGTCAATGGAGAGATTCTGCCTGAGGTTGTAGGTAGAGCCCTGGAGAGCAGAAGAAAGTGGCTAACAGGAGACAGAGCCTCAGGGAAGGTCCTTTCTGCAGCCCCCTTAGAGGGCGGATATCCCCCCAGGCTCCCAGATATCAGACTGAGGAAAGTGGGGATGTGTTGCACCCGGGAGGCTTCCCAGTGAATAGTGCATGCAAAAAACTCAAGTCCGCTGCTGCGCCCAGCCTCAGGGCAACCAGGGCCTCTTTCGTGGAGAAGTCCAGCTTCCCATTAGCTCAGCCCTCCTGCCTTCAGTGAGCCCTGCTGACTTCCACTTGGCCTGGTCATCAGATAAATCGCTCTGTTGAAGGAACAGCCTCTCTGTTCTTGCCAAAGACTTTTGTTTTCCCCCAACATGAGCACAACAGGCTGGAGGAAGATGTGCCGTAGGTAGAGTAACCTTGTACCGTATGACTAAAAAAAAAATCACATCAACAAAATCCACTAAAATATGAACAATGGCTGGGTTTGGTGGCTCACGCCTGTAATCCTAGCACTTTGGGAGGCTGAGGTGGGTGGATCACCTGAGGTCAGGAGTTCAAAACCAGCCTGGCCATCATGGTGAAACCCCATCTTTAAAAATAAATCAATAAAAAAGAAAAAAAATATATGAACAATCGTTGCCTTTGAGTGATGGACTAAGTGTATGTTATTCTCTCTTTATATTTCTGGATGCTGTCATTTTTCTACCATAAACACTTTTTTTTTTCTTTTTGAGATGGAGTCTCACTCTTTCACTCAGGCTGGAGTGCAGTGGTGGGATCTCGGCTCACTGCAACCTCTGCCTCCAAGGTTCAAGCCATTCACCTGCCTCAGCCTCCCAAGTAGCTGGGATTACAGGCGTCTGCCACCAGACTCAGCTCGTTTTTGTATTTTTACTAGAGATTAGGTTTCACCATGTTGGCCAGGCTGGTCTCAAACTTCTGACCTCAGGTGATCCACACACCTTGGTCCCCCAAAGTGTTAGGATTACACACATGAGCCACCGCACCTGGCGGCCTTCACTATTTTGTAATGAGCTAAAATGAAGAGAGTGGAATGTTTCACATATCAAGGCATTTTGAACAAAAACTATGGCTTTTATAATACAGAGATCCACCCAATGGAAAATGCAGTGAATATTCTCTAGTGGACACCTGTCCTACACTGTTTCCTCTAAGCGAATGGCTGTCACCAAGCTGGTGACAGGTAGAACCCCTCCGTTCTTAGATGGGCTTGCAGGGATTACCCTTGTGAATCATTAAAACACAAACATCCAATGAGTACTTTTTTTTTTTTTGAGACGGAGTTTCGCTCTTGTTACCCAGGCTGGAGTGCAATGGCGTGATCTTGGCTCACTGCAACTTCCGCCTCCTGGGTTCAGGCAATTCTCCTGCCTCAGCAGGTAGCTGGGACTACAGGCACGTGCCACCATGCCCAGCTAATTTTTTGTATTTTTAGTAGAGACAGGGTTTCACCATGTTGACCAGGGTGGTCTCGCTCTCTTGACCTTGTGATCCATCCGCCTCGGTCTCCCAAAGTGCTGGGATTACAGGTGTGAGCCACCGCACCTGGCCATCAGTACTTTCTGATTGCCAGGTCTTCTTCTCTCTGCCTTACATGTGTGTTTCATGCATACAGCCACCTGAAGCTGGCACCAATACAGCAGTCCTCCTTTATCTATGGTTTCACTTTCTGTAGTTTTAGTTACCTGTGATCAACCATGGTCTAGAATTATTAAATGAAAAATTATAGAAATGAATATAAGTTTTTTGTTTTGTTTTTTTGAGGTGGAGTATCGTTCTTGTTGCCCAGGCTAGAGTGTAATGGTTTGCTCTCAGCCCACTGCAACGTCTGCCTCCCGGGTTCAAATGATTCTCCTGCCTCAGCATCCCCAGTAGCTAGGATTACAGGTGTGCACCACCATCCCTAGCTAATTTTTTGTATTTTTAGTAGAGATGAGGTTTCACTATGTTGGCCAGGCCGGTTGCAAACTCCTGACCTCAAGCGATCCACCTGCATCGGCCTTCCAAAGTGCTGGGATTACAGGTGTGAGCCACCGTGCCTGGCCCTAAGTTTTAAATTGTGCACATTCTGAGGAGTGTGGTGAAGTCTTGCACCGTCCCATCCCATCAGACCCAGGATGAGTCATCCGTTTGTCTGGTGGGTCCACACTGTATACACTACCTGCCTGGTAGTCACTTAGTAGCCATCTCATTATCAAATCGATTGTCGGGGTGTAGCAGTGCTTATGTTCCAGTCACACTTATTTTTACTTACTAATGGCCCTAACGTGCAGGAGTAGTAATGGCGATTCGAATATGCCAAAAAGAAGCTGAAATGTGCTTCCTTTAAGTGAAAGGTGAAAGTTCTTGACTTAATAAGGAAAAAAGTCTGGGCCCAGTAGCTCACGCCTGTAATCTCAGCACTTTGGGAGGCTGAGGCAGGTAGATCACTTGAGGTCAGGAGTTCGAGACCAACCTGGCCAACATGGCGAAAACCCATCTCTATTAAAAATACAAAAATTAGCTGGATATGATGGCATGCACCTGTAGGCCCAACTATTTAGGAGGCTGATGCAGGAGAATTGCTTGAACCCTGGAAGCAGAGGCTGCAGTGAGCCAAGACTGCACCACTGCATCTTTAGCCTGGCTGACAGAGCAAGACTCCTCTCAAAAAAAAAAAAAAAAAGAGGAAAGGAAAAGAAATTATGTGCTTATACGCTGAGGTGGTTAAGATCTATGGTGAGAATTAATCTTCTATTTTTGTTGTTGTTGTTGTTGTTAGAGATGGGGTTTTGCCCTATTGCCCAGGCTGGTCTCAAACTGGCCGTTGTTCACATGGCCATTGTTCAGCCATTTTGGTGGATTTTGTTCATGTGAGAAGAAAATCAAGTGATCTGCCCACCTTGACCTTCCAAAGTGCTGAGATTATGGGTATAAGCCACCAAGAATGAATCTCCTATCATGAAATTGTGAAGAAGGAAAAAGAAATTTGTGCTAGTTTTGGTGTTGCACCTCAAACTGAAAAAGTTATGGCCACAGTTCATGGTAAGTGCTTAGTTCAGATGGAAAAGTTATTATATTGGTGAGTGGAAGACATGAACAGAAACGTGTTCTGGCTGGGTGCAGTGGCTCATGTCTGTAATCCCAACATTCTGGGAGGTCGAGGCAGGAGGATCACCTGAAGCCAGGAGTTTGAAACCAGCCCAGGCAACATAGCAAGACCTTGTCTCTACAAAATAAAAATAAAAATAAAACAACAAAGAAATTATGTAGGCATGGTGGTACATCTTGTAGTCCCAGCTACTCTTGGAGTCAGAAAAGAATTGCTTCAGCCCAGGATTTCAAGGTTACGGTTGTGATCACATCACTGCACTCCAGCCTGGCTGACAGAGTTTAAGACTCTCTCTCTAAAAATATAATGAATAAACATGTCTGATTTGTGGTAATCAGATTCGGTACAATCCAAGGTTCTAGGCATTCAGTGGGGCTCTTAGAACTTGTTTCTCTCTGATAAGGGGGGAACTACTCTATTATTAAAATATCATACCCATTTTAGAGAACTGAAAACAGAGGCATTGAGAAGCTAGATATGTGGAAGAGCTGGGATTTGAGCCCAGGCAACACATGGCTGCAGAGCCTGGGTGCTGAACCACTGCACCATTCTGCCTCTTATAGGAGCAGAAATCCAGGTGGAACCTAAAGGAAAAAAAGGCAGGTAGAGAAGATGAGCCAGGCCATAGGAGGGGCTGTCGGTGCTTACTCTGGGCTGGTTCAGATGTGTGTTGACAGAGCAGGGTCAGGGAGCAAATCAGAAGAGCTGGGGCCAACTCAGTCTTTTTATTTCTGCAGCGTGCTGGACATTTTTCCGACTGTGGTAGCCCTGGCCCAGGCCAGCTTGCCCCAGGGTCGGCGCTTTGATGGTGTGGATGTCTCTGAGGTGCTCTTTGGCCGGTCACAGCCTGGGCACAGGGTAAGTGGAGGAGGTATGTGCCCACATGAGGCTCTTTAGGAGGCTGAGCTGCTGCCTCTCACCTCTGTACAGACAGAACCATCCTCAGAAGATGCAAGCAAGTGGCTGGTTCCAACCCCATTTGAGATGAGCCTCTTTCTACCCCCAAACTCCCATCCAGATTTATATTGAACAATTGGCTTAGGGTGGGTGTATATAGGTTCTCATTCCCTATAATGGGCTTTTTTTTCCTGCATGTTTTTAATTTAATGACATAGCTACCCAGCATGTTTTGTTAGATGAGATGACTGACTAGTGTCTATAACATGTTTATTGTGAGCCTCTTCCTCCAGAATGGAAGCTTCTTGAGGGTAAGAATCTGAGCCATCAAGTTCAGCTCTGAGTTCTCACTGTCTTCAGTCAGCCAGCATTCAGTCCATGCAAACTAGATGAACCAATAATGGAACAAATGAACAAATGAGTGAAAGACCCTTTGCACAGCAGGTCCAGCAGGGGCTTTACATCCAACATTCCCCTGGCCCCAGAGGGCTTAGCACATGCTCTGCAGTCTGTTGTGGTTTTCTTTTTTTTTTGGGGGGGGGATGGAGTCTTGCTCTGTCACCCAGGCTGGAGTGCAGTGGCACGATCTCAGCTCACTGCAGCCTCCACCTCCCAGGCTCAAGGGATTCTCCTGCTTCAGCCTCCCGAGTAGCTGGGATTACAGGCCCATGCCACCATGCTTGGCTAATTTTTGTATTTTTAACAGAGATGGGGTTTCACCATGTTGACCAGGCTGGTCTCGAACTCCCAATCTCAAGTGATCCACCCACCTTGGCCTCCCAAAGTGCTGGGATTACAGGTATGAGCCACCATGCCTGACCTGCAGCCTGTTCTTGACCAAGCAGTCCGTGACAATGGCTTTGGGCTTCCACTTACCAGCCTCATCTCCCCAATGTCCCCTCTTTGCACTCTGAAGCACTCATTGGCAGTGATAGCCAGGAAATGTCAGGCCTCATGGTCTTTCCTTGTCATTTCCCTGTGTTTTCCTTTCCCCAAATGGAAGAGGAAGCAGGAAGAGTCAAGGAGGCCAAAGGAGCAGCGAGTCCCCTCTGCAATGCCCTGCAAATGCATGACTTCTTGGTGAGGGACCCACACATCAAAGGGTCTATTTATATCTTTGCTAAGGGTCACATGGAAGTGACTCAAATGTACACAAGTGTCCTGTGGCTGGTCGTTACTGAAGCTGTTCTTCCCACCCAGCCTCCCCCAGCAAACCAGAACATGGGTCCTCTGTGGGCCATTGGTGCCTCTGTGTACATAAATGCAGTTTTTAGGGGTTATCAGATGAGGCCCGAGAGGTCTTCTGAAGTCCTGCTTCTCCCCAGAATATCTGCCCGCTAGAGCTGCAGACCCTTCCAGGCCTAGCCCCTCTCCCTAAGCAGGAGCAGCAAGCAGGAAGATGGTTTCCGCCTTGAGGTTGGAAGTTAGCAGTATGTGACCCTGGAGGGTTGTCACAGACGTCACTGGAGAGGTGCTCCGGAGTGTTTATTACCATGGCTGCTAGGAATAATTGGGGTCACCAGGAAGTGCTTCAAGGACTGTGGTCTCCTTGACGTTGTTGGTACTGCCTGCCAGCTCCTTCGTGTGCTAACTTCCTTTCTCAAACAGGAGAGCTCTGCTCTTGCTCTAACTATAGTTTTATGCAGGCTCACAGAGACCCCAGCCTAACTAGTGCCCAGCAGGGTTATGCGCAGGAACCAGATTGGGAAACCAGATACAAGTCACAGCGTCGTCATGGGGATGTATGATGGCGTGGTTAATGCAGTTGGAGTCAGGACTGACTTGCTCCCTGACCACACCCCATGGCCCAGAAAGAAACAGCCACACTTACTGCTTATGGGAAGCAGCTGATGGTATCTTCAAGGTTAAGAGCAGATGGGGCTGGCACCCTGCCTCCCAGAGCATGCCTGCAGTGTCAGTAAAGGCACCCGAGAGAAGACTCTGAAGTTTGAGGACAACATGGGTAGTTGCTGGACCTGAATTTGGTTTGGCTTTCTCTGGTCAGTCCTCTCTATTGAAGCACAGTAATAGACCTAAAGAAATAAGATTAAATTGTCTCAAATTTGGAGTAGTTATAGGGGATACCAGAAGATAAGAATATGAGGAATGATATACACACACACATGCTATACATACATACATATATACACACACACATGTACAGACATGTGTGGATGTGTCTATACATGTGGATCATACATATGCATACATATTCTAGACATGTGTATGCCTATGCATGTTTTATTTTATTTTTTTGTGATGGAGTCTCACTTTGTCTCCCAGGCTAGAGCGCAGTGGCACGATCTTGGCTCACTGCAACCTCCACCTCCTGGGTTCAAGCGATTCTCCTGCCTCAGCCTCCTGGGTAGCTGGGATTACAGGCATGGCGCCACTATGCCCGGTTAATTTTTGTGTTTTTAGTAGAGATGAGGTTTCACCATGTTGGCCAGACTGGTCTCAAACTCCTGACCTCAGGTAATCTGCCCACCTCAGCCTCCGAAAGTGCTGGGATTACAGGTGTGAACCACTGTGCCCAGCCTGCATATGTATGTTTGTATACCATGCATGTATACACATGTATGCATGTACATGTCTGTATACATGCATGTATAAATATGTATGCATATATGTGCTTATGCATGCATACATAAGTTTGCATATGCATGTGTCTATATACCTGAACATATATACATGTTTATGTTCAAACACTATACATGTGTACATATGTATGCATATGCATTTCAATGCATATATATGTATAGGCTTGCATACACACGTACATGTGTACATATGTATATGTCCAGGCATATACATAGAGATATATGCATATATTTATACTCATCCCTATGCACATGTATACATATGTATATGCATGCATATATCTATATACACACATACATATGTCTGCATGCATGCAAACATGTACACAGATGTGTGTGTCTATACACATGCATACGTGTATACATATGTAATTTTAAATAAGCACAATTTGTGTTCACTCTCAGATACATCCTGGGCTTACAAGGATTCCAATATGAGTTAGTTTAGAAACAGTTTCAGTTCTAGAAGTTCAAGGTAACTCCTGGATATTTAGCTGAAAACAATATGTCAGTGCATCTTAGCAATTGGGTTCTTCCCTATTGCAAACCAAGTAGCCAAGAGTTAAGCAGAGAAGCAAGAGAGTTGAGAGGTGTTGCGCAAGTAATGAGCTACCAGTTCCCACTGGATGGTGTTCTCACAACCCACTTCATCAGCCTCTAGGGACATTGTGTCTGTGATGTTCAAAACCACGGCAGCTGACACCATGCTGCGTGTTCTTGCATCAGCCCAACCTCCTGCTTCTGATCTTGATATGTCTGCATATAGGCAGTGAAGGTCACCAGGAGAGAGATGAGATCTGCACAGCCTAGAACCAAATGTTCCACTTTGTGCTTTCTGGACTCCCACATGGCAGCTGAAGGTTGTAACATCACCACTGCTCAGGCTGTACCTTAGCCCCAGGTTATCATGGTCAGGTCCAGAAATTGTCCACGAAGGAACGTTTTCCCCAATAGCTCTGCATCTGCCTAGCCCAACACTGTGTGGGGCTGCTGTCACTCATCAAATGCTTGGCACACCCCTGGAGGCCGTACATTGAGGAAAGAAGCTGCCTTGTCACGTCCAGAATGCGTATCGCTTCTCTTAGGGAGGCCCCTAGTGGCGAGAGATGTTATCTGGAGTGGGTGGCAAACTACTGACCACCCCATCTGCCCCCTTAGGGGGCTGTGCATCCCTACCTGAATGGTGAAGAAGCCCACCTTCAGGGGATGCTATATCAGCACCCTCTAGGACCTAAAGTAAGGGAACATTTGTGCTTAAAAAGAACAAGAAGATAAAATAGAGCAAGAAAGGCAACCAGGAAGGCAAAACAAGTTTGCATAAAATAAAGTCGTCTTTGAAATCTGAACCAGGCATCTGGAGAGCTGTGATTCATATGTACTTTTGACAATTTCCTTCCTATGTTGATATAAATAAGAAAGCCATAATGGGTCTGCTCAAATGAAAAAAAAAATGCATAGACAAGTTGTCCAAAGGCCCTCTATGTTTCTTAGAATGAGCCATCCCACAGCATTGCTTCCTCTTGGATTTGGGAAGTTGCCTCTGGTAATGCCACATAAATAGTGGGAACAGAGCAGCCCACCCTCGTGGAGTTTCTGTGATTGCGACCCAAGTACTGTGAATGACTTGAAGCAGCAAGCCTTCACTCCCATCTTCTGCGTGTCCGAGTGCATCGTGTATCAGTTGACAATAGATTTTCCAAGTCTCCCACTTCCTGCTGTCTCAAGAAGGAAACAGAACAGTCTCCTGCGGTGAAGAGGCTTGGCTTTCTGCAGGGATGGAAGAAGTGAGGGTTTTCAATTATGACTTCTTTTCCTGTTTGGAAGGAACCTGCTGTCATCACGCACGCCCTGGGTATGTGCAGGGATTGTCATGAGAACCTGGTAGCAGCAGGTGTGGGGAGGAGATCCACCTCAGCGGCATCCTCTCAGAGTTGTGAAACTCGGGGGTACAGCTGTTTACTGCTCCAACAGATGTTTCTCGTTTTTTTTTTTTTTTTTAAGTCCCATGGAAACTTTGAATCATGTAAGTGCCTTTCCAGCCATATATATGGTTATGATTCAGACCAAGGCAATGTCATGCTTTTAGCCCAGACCCACCAACCTACCAAGGATGCTGGCCTTTTATTTTCTTTTACATCCTTCCCTTGAGAACCCTGAATTAGGTGTTTCCATTCTGTAGGGTAATTCTTTTATCTATGACCTGATGAGGAAAGATTTCCTCAGTCCAAATATAGTCGGATTGAGTCAGAGCTGTGGGCATCTGTGTCCAGAGGGGCTGTGCCTGGTTCTGGGGAAATCAAGGATGCCGCCTTTTGTACCATCCCTGCTCAAGAGAGAATTGGAAAATTGACTTGATGCTAAAGAAGCCTTGCTTCCCAGAGATTTGAGGGTCACCTGCATCAGAATCCCTGGAAATATTTGTAAAACAAGTAAGTCCCGAAGGCCCATCCTGACGCTAAGGGGTTGGAACTCAGGCAGGGTGGCCTTGTAGGTTTGTGACCTGTGCACCACACAGAGCCCTGCACTTGTAGAGATGCTGCACTTGATTTTAAGCTCTGCTATGGTCATCATGATATTTTAAGCTCATGTATAAGGTATCCCTGATTTGCATTTTGCAGTGGACTTTGCAAATTACATAGCAGGTTTCAGGCCTAGAAATCTGACCTACCTAGTGAGACCTTTTGCCTACTCTTCCAGATTTGTAACCCACTCCCATCAGTTAACCAGCAAAATAACTTCACAGGCTCCCTGGGGTTGGCTGGTGTGGACTCCAGGCTTGTGTCTGTCAGTGTGTGTTGGGGTACAGAGATAGGGAAAACAGACCCTAAGAAAGCCAGTAATATTTTCCAGGGAGCATTCAGCATCATCTAGCATGTTTTATTTTGTTTTGTTTTGTTTTTTTGAGACAGGGTCTGGCTCTGTCATCCAGTCTGGAGTGCAGTGGTGGGATCATAGCTCACTGCAGCCTTGACCTCCCAGGCTCCAGCAATCCTCTCACAGCCTCCGAGTAGCTGGAACCACAGGTGTGCACCACAATGCCTGGTTAATTGTTGTATTTTTTTGTAGAGAAGGGTCTTGCTGTGTTGCCCAGGTTGGTTTCAAACTCCTGGGCTCAAGCGATCCTCCTGCCTCAACCTCCCAAGGTGTTGGGATTACAGGTGTGAGCTACCGAGCTCCCCCAATTTTTCTATTAGTAAGCTCTGCCACTCTTTCCCAGGTGCTGTTCCACCCCAACAGTGGGGCAGCTGGAGAGTTTGGAGCCCTGCAGACTGTCCGTCTGGAGCGTTACAAGGCCTTCTACATTACCGGTGAGTGAGGGGCCACCTAGCCCTGCCTCCCATGTGCACACCTGCACGGGGACCCTGCGGACTCTCACCCAGGCCTCTGGGAATGAGTGTGAGCTGCCCTCCTTTCAGGGCGTTCTCAGCACCTCTTGACAGTGTCTCCCCCAAACCCAGGACCCCTGCACAGGCTCTCTGGATCCTCCATATGCAAATAAGGACTTTGTGCTGTTCACCTGACATTCTAGTGATCTGGGAGCTCTCAACACATTTATTTAGCTCCTTTTCACACAGAGAGTATTTCCCATTATTATGCTTTAAATGCCAGTTTGGATGAATATTAAATGGAAACCTAGAGATTAAGTATAATTTACTTGACAATAGACTGTTTTAGAAAATAGACTGTAGAGGACTAGTTAGCAAACCGACAGAAGTCTCTCTGCTTCTTGGTTCACTGTGACTATCCATATCTTAGATGTGTATTTATAAGTGTCACACTGGATCAGGATTGTCCTCAGGGTCCTCCGATGGCTTCTTGCTGCCAACTGAATTCAGACTCTCACTCCAGAGTCCTTCTGTCTTTCCAGCCTTAGTTTTCCACAAACAAGTCTCCTCTTTCTTGGTCTCCATATTTAAATCCCCTTCAGCTTTTTTTTTTTTTTTTTTTTTAAGATGGAATCTTGCTCTGTTGCCAGGCTGGAGTGCAATGACGCAATCTCGGCTCACCGCAACCTCCGCCTCCCGATTCAAGCAATTCCTCTGCCTCAGGCTACTGAGTAGCTGAAATTACAGGTGCACACCACCATACCCAGATAATTTTTTGTATGTTAGTAGAGAGGGGTTTCACCATGTTGGCCAGAATCATCTTGAACTCCTGGCCTCATGATCCACCTGCCTCAGCCTCCCAAAGTGCTGGGATTACAGGCATGAGCCACCACTCCCAACCCCCTTTCAGCTTTTAAGGCCCAAGTCAAATGTCACTTTCACAAAATTCTCTCATCTTCCCAGCTGGCGAGGAATCCTGGAGAGCTCTGTTATCTCCCTGTCTGCTACACACGCCAGTCATTTAGGTACATGTGTTATTTCCTGTGCCAGTTTTAAGCTTTCGAGATTGAGAACTTTCAGTGCTTTAATCTTTGTTGTCTTGAAGTGCTTAGCTACAGTTTTTTTTAATGAATGAAAAACAAAAACTAAAAAAAAGGAAAACCTGTGACCTAATGCAGATTCCAACTTGATTCAGTTGTTTCATGTTGTAGCTTTTCAAAGAATTAGATAATAAAAAAATTATTTTCTCTGGGTGTAAATAAGTGATCCTGAATAAAACGTGGCATAAAAACAAAACATGACTTGAAGGGTGTTAAAAATGTCACAAAAATATTTGATTCTCTAAAACCTAAAACTCAAAACAGTCAGATATTTGTTATGTTTTCAGATGAAAAGTTTCTAGATTAGAATGCTTATATTACATTATCTAAGAGGTATGGGACTTCCAGGCTGAGTTAATTTCACAAGGAGTAGTCCTGCCAGAAAGCCCTTGGCAGCACAATGTTGGAATCATACATGTTACTATGAAGTAATAGGGCTGTTTAAAATGATCACAATCAAATAGGAATTATAGCACCCAGAGGAGGTCTGCTTTTCTAAGGAGTCACCAAACTCCCAAGAGAGTCTGGATAGGGAGCACTAAACTTTTAATCCATCAGTGAAAACTGGGAGTAGGATGAAACAGTGGTATGTTCTGATTCCCTCTTCTTCTTGCTTCTAACATTTGCATCCCAGTTACTCATAACTGCTTTTGGATAAGCTAGATGAATTGACATCTACCACATTAGATTGGAGAAAGATGTGTGCTTCTATGACGAGGATATCATGTTATGGTAACACACTGGGAGTGGCCTTAGAAAGACAACCAGTCCGTTTTGACATGTAGCCTGGAATTAAGGTACCTTACTGTTTTTCATTTTAAAAAGAACATAAGGCAGCTGTGATGGCTCACGCCTGTAATCTCAGCACTCTGGGAGGTTAAGGTGAGTGGATCTCCGAGGTCAGGAGTTTGAGACCAGCCTGGCCAACATGGTAAAACTTCATCTCTACTAAAAATAAAAAATTAGCCAGGTGTGGTGGCACATGCCTATAGTCTTGGTTACTCAGGAGGCTGAGGCAGGAGAATTGTTTGAACCCAGGAGGCGGAGGTTGCAGTGAGCCAAGATTGCACCACTGCATGCTACACTCCAGCCTGGGCAACAGAGTAAGACTCCGTCTCCAGAAAAAAAAAAAAAAAAAAAGCAGTTAAGGCAACCTGTACACATATTGAGAGGCCCCAGATATAAAATGTGTAATTTGGTGAGGTTTTATAAGTGTAGATACCTGTATATGTACTCTTTTAATGGTGTGAGTTCCATTGCTTATTTTTGTCTTTTTCTTTTTGTATTGATTGATTTTCAACTGTTAAGCCAACTTTGTATATCTAGATAAATCCCATTTAGCCATGATGTATTGCACTTTTTATATCTTGCTGGATTTGATTTTCTAAGACTTTATCTATCATTTTCCTTGTCTGTGTCAAGGTTTGGGATCAGGATTTTTCTGGCCTTATAAAACGAGTTCAAAAATATTCCCTTCTCTGTTTTCTGAAAGGGTTTGTGTAACATCAGTATTATTCCTTTCATGTTTGATTGAATTCATCTGTGAAATGATTTGCCAAACTCAGTGTTGTCTTATAAGACAAAGAAGATTTTGTCTTATTTTTAAAAAGATTGTTAGTATTTTAGGTCTTATATTTAGATTTTGGATCCATTTCCAGTTAATTTTTGTATGTGGCATACGGGAAGGGTCCAACTTCATTGTTTTACATGTTGACATCTAGTTTTCCCAGCACCGTTCATTTGTTGAAAGACTGTCCTTTCCCCATTGAATGCTCTTGGCACCCTTGTTAAAAATCATTTGATCATACATGTGAGGGATAATTTCCACTGTCTATTCTTTTCCATTAGCTATATGTCTATCCTTCTGCTAGTACCACACTGTTTTGATTACTGTAGGCTTGTTGTAGTTTTGAAATCAGGAAGTTTGAATCCTCCAGTTTTGGGCCTTTTCAAAAATTTTTATTTTTTAAGACTGTTTTGACTGTTCTGGGTCCTTTGAGATTCCATGTGAATTTTAGGATGGATTTTTCTATTTCTGCCAAAAACATCATTGGGATTTTGATAAGGATTGTAGGTAAATTACTGTGGGTAGTATTGACATTTTAACAATATTAAGTCTTTCAATCCATGAACATGGGATGTAACCATTTATTTATGTCTTCCTTAATTTCTTTCAGTATATTTTATGGTTTTCATTATACAAGACTTTCATTTTTTGGTGTTAATTTCTATTTTATTCTTTTTGGTGCCATTGTAAATGAAATTGTTTTTGCAATTTTCTTTTTCAGATTGTTCACTATTATTGTGTAGAAATCTAACTGGTTTTGTGTTTTGAATTTCAATCCTGCTATTTTGCTGAATTCCTTTATTGGTTTTGCTTTTATGTGGAATCTTTAGGTTTTCTTCATATAAGATTTTATCATCTCTGAAGGAGGCCATTTTACTTCTTCCATTCCAATTTGGATGCTTTTTATTTCTTTTGCTTGCCTAATTGCTCTGTCAGGAATGTCCAGTACTATGTGGAACAGAAATGGCAAAAATGGCATTGAAACTTTTATTAATATGTTATGTCCTTCTCTTTGTCTCTTATAACCTTTTAAAAATTTAATGTCCATTTTGTATGAGATTAGGATAGCCACTCTTGCTTTTGATTATTATTTGCATGGAAAATATTTTTCTACTGTTTCACTTTATTTTTTTCATGGGTTATTGGGGTACACATGGTATTCAGTTACATGAGTAAGTTCTTTAGTGGTGATTTGTGAAAATTTGTTGCACCCATCACCCAAGCAGTGTACACTGCACCCTATTTGTAGTCTTTCATCCTTTGCCCCCTTCCCACCCTACCTCCAAATCCTCAAAGTCCATTGTGTCATTCTTACGTTTTTGCATCCTCCTCATAGCTTAGCCCTCACATATCGGTGAGAATATATGATGTTTGGTTTTCCATTCCTGAGTTACTTCACTTGGAATCAGAGTCTCCAGTCTCATCCAGGTTGCTTCAAATGCTGTTGATTCGTTCCTTTTTATGGCTGAGTAGTATTCCATTGTGTATATAATATATATATACCACAGTGTCTTTATCCACCTTGTTGACTGATGAGCATTTGGGTTGGTTCCATAATTTTGCAGTTGCAAATTGTGCTGCTATAAATATGTGTGTGCAAGTATGTTTTTCATATAATGAATTCTTTTCCTCTGGGTAGATACCCAGCAGTGGAATTGCTAGATCAAATGGTAGTTCCACTTTTAGTTTTTTTTTTTTGAGACGGAGTTTCACTCTTGTTACCCAGGCTGGAGTGCAATGGTGCGATCTCGGCTCACCACAACCTCCGCCTCCTGGGTTCAGGCAATTCTCCTGCCTCAGCCTCCTGAGTAGCTGGGATTACAGGCATGTGCCACCATGCCCAGCTAATTTTTTGTATTTTTAGTAGAGACTGGGTTTCACCATGTTGACCAGAATGGTCTCAATCTCTTGACCTCGTGATCCCCTTGCCTCGGCCTCCCAAAGTGCTGGGATACTTTTAGTTTTTTAAGGAATCTCCATACTGTTTTCCATAGTGGTTATACTAGTTTATACTCCCACCAGCAGTATAGAAGTGTTCTCTGTTTACTGCATCCATGCCAACATCTACTGTTTTTTGATTTTTTGATTATGACCATCCTTGCAGGAATGAGGTGTTATCACATTGTGGTTTTGATTTGCATTTCCCTGATCATTAGTGATGTTGAGTATTTTTTCATGTTTCTTGTCCATTTATATGTCTTCTTTTGATGATTGTCTGTTCACATGCTTAGCCTACTTTTTGATGGGATTCTTTTCTTGCTGATTTGTTTGAGTTCATTGTAGGTTCTGGATATTAGTCCTTTGTCAGATGTGTA